ACTTACTTACTTACTTACTTACTTACTTACTTACTTAGTTGTTGGTTTTTTTTTTTGGGGGGGGGGGGCATGTTCAGCCCATGGACAAAGGAGAAAATTTAATGCTTGCTCAGGCAGCAAAGTTTCATGGGACTATTCATAATTTAAAATTTGAGTATATGGGGTCTTAAGATGTGCAAATATGGGCTTAAATCTAATCTAAATGTCTCCGTTACTTGTATTTTATATTTAATCTTAACATAATTGCAATCAAGCAACCAGGACAACTGCTGGTGGGTCAAATCAAATGGCTTGGCGGGCCAATTCTGGCCCGCGGGCCCCACTTTGGGCTCCTCTGACCTAGAGCAACATTCTTTGTTTACTTGGAGGGGGCGGGACTTAAACCTGTGCAATTTTCAAGAAAGATAGGTCCCGTTCTGATCTCAACTTCTGGGTTCCTATTGGACATTTTTCGATATAAAAACAGTTTATGGTTTGAATCCAGTCGTCCCTGAGAGTGCAACGTATCGCTCCAGTGCTGATGGTCTTAAAACATTTGCCCTGCAAAGAGCAAGAAGCAAACAGTTACACAATTCACTGAAGTAAGAGATTCTATCAGAGCCTCTATTAAAAGATAGATGATAGAGCTCTTTAATGAAACAAGTCAAATAAAAAAGAGCTAATTGGAGATTTGATATTGAATAGGTTAAATGATCAGCCACACAGTAAAGGTGGCAGTAAAATCAAGGCTGGCCATCGCCTCTCATCCTTTCATGTTAGACACCACTTACTGTACATAAACAGCACACTATTGTAAATTATTGAACAGGAGGGGCAGATCTGAGGTATTTCCAACCATACTCATCTTAAATAACATAATTACAGTAAACAGACGATTATTAATTAGACGTCAAAACACGAGTCGCTGCAACTGAAATATGATTTTAAATCAAGCAGTTTTATCACCATGCAATATTATATTGACTTGTTTAGATGACAATGCGTTCCTCAATATTACAAAGTTTGTCATAATACGAGTCTGCAACCAATATAATGTGATAAATGTTCACCTAACACAATCATTATGTTAGATGAACAGATGTTTTTGTTTTGCCTCGATGTAACTGAATCAATAATAACTGAATGGATGTACAGATGTGGGTCGATGTATTGTTACACCTCTAAGCATCACTGCTGTTCTGGATTTGCCAGTTTGTTCTGTAAAATAATGCAGGTATGGAATTAAGGTTTTGTTTCAGCCGATGTGTAATCTTAAAGGAATAAGAATTGTGAGCATAACAAACTTAATCTGGACATAACTCTTATCTTTATTTTCTCACAAACAGCTATACGGAGAGAAATCCTTGAATGTCAAGTTTATAGCAACACTTTAACCAACAAAAATGTTCTTGTTGCTTTTAAAACTCATACTTGTATGATCCAAATGCAGAATGAAAAGAAATTCTTACAGCGCAACAAATCAACAGCAAAAATATGACAATCCAAAAGTTGGTTTACTCTCTTTTGTTCATATTTATGAACGTTTTTCTAAATAAATCCAGTGCTGAAAGTAACATTAATAATTATTTGTCTGACAAGTTCTAATATTAAACACTTAAAAGCTTCACAAAAGTGCTCTAATTTTTTTTCATTATTTATTTTTGTGCAAAAACGTTATCTGTTTGGAGTTCCATTCACTTCCTGTTGTTTATCTGAAAAGGAGGCGGAGCTTTGTCCATAGAGGTGTGGCTCCACTCTCATATTAGATAAGGCTCAGCAGATTTACTAACAGCAGCAATCCTCATGATCAGACTCTCATGCCTACACGTGCTTCTGATTGGCTCCTCGTGCTGAAATTTTAACCAATCATTGGTCCTCATGCAAGAACATGTTCGTATTCTCATCCTAAATTTCTCTTACTTTTGTTCGTACAAAGGGTT